AGAACTAAAATTGGTGTCTGTGACTTACAATAAAAAATAATAACAATAGCCATGCGGTAATCAAGCCTGCCTAGTCTATGTCCTACCTGACGGTTCCTAGGTTCTGCAAAGCCCTAAGGTTCTAAGTCAGTCATACACACACACACACACACACACACACACACACACACACACACACACAGAGTATTCATATATTTATACGTAACTATTATGCATAGTATTCCATATAGAGAATATAAGATTCATATATAGAATAATTCCATATACAGAACATTATGGAATGTGTATGGAATAATTTGATAATGGAATTCTGGAGTCTATTTTTGGAATATATGTTATATATGGAATCCCTATATATGAAATATTACTCAGCCATAAAGAAAAAATAAAATTAGGTCATCTGCAGGAAAATGGATAGATGTGGAGATCATCATGTTGAGTGAGATCGAAACAAGCTGTCTTTGCTCATTTGTGGGGGTACATAGACCTAAACTTATGAGGGAGGAGGTAATAGTTACAGAAATGGGGCGTGAACAGAAAGCAGGGAGTATCTGGGAGGAGATAGTAGGGGTAGGACAAAGAAGGGACACTGAGAGGTGAAGAGGCTTGAAGGAACAGATTACCAGTTTTTATCAGCTATCTGTAAGCAATCTGTTGCTAACGCCTGTCTGTCAATCAATGCAGTACCTTGAAACTCATCAAACTGGGAGGGGAAGGAGGGAGGAATAGGGAATATGGTGGTGGCTAGGGGTGAATCCACTCTAAGTGCACTGTGGCGTATTATGGAAATATTACAGTGGGAACCCCCATCTAGGACACATGGCGGTTAGCTAAAATAAAGGTTAGTACATTCTCTAAGACATCTATCTCTATTGACAAAGCTGAGTGTTAGTGCTGCGGAAGCTCAGGACTATCATGACAGGTCCACCACGCCAGGGACTCTCCCAGACTCGGCCCCTCTCGGCCCCAGCTTCCTTCCTTCTGCTGCCTCAGAGCTCCACAATGGCCCAAGGACATGATCACTCATCACTGAGGGGCTTCTCAAAGCGGTGCTCTCTGGAAGTTGCTTTATCCTCACAGACATGCCCACCCCCAAAGCAGACTCGGCCCTTTAAGCAAAAGGGCATAAGTCCTCCAATTATGGAATGGAAAAACCAAACCAAAACAAACCACAGGCCAAGGTTTCTGAGGTGTACAAGACAAGATATTTGAGAGAGACAGAGAAACAAAGAGAGAGACAGAGACAGAGACAGAGAGCAGTTACAGCTTCCACGGCAGAGTACCACAGTACGTTGTCACAATTCTCTTGTATTATTTTGTACCTTTTTTGTTAATATATATTTTGTTAATTTCTAAATTAAACTTCAGAGTGGTGGATGAGGAGGAGACGGTGCATATAACAGATCCCCAGGACTCATAGGGGCTACTGTGCAATTCTCCCCAGCGTTGGACTCTAAATGCAGAATCTTTCCATGAAACCGACCCATTCTTGACCACGTGATCCCTGTCCAAGCCAGTTTTGGGTGAGACGGGACTGGAAAATGACAACCCGAGCCCTTTTCCTGAGTGGGTAGGGGGCCGGCAGGGAGAAGGCAGGACATCCCAAGCCCCTCCAGCCTTGTGATGACCGCAGGAGCATCTCTGGAGGCCTTCTCTGAGGACAGGAAATGGAACGAGACCTAAGGAGAGCCATCTGCTGACATTCACGTGTTTATCGGAGTGTGTGGCACCGGCCTGAACGAATGCAGCTGTTTTCCTCAGCAGACACAAGCAAATAGCAGCAGACGTCCAAACAAAGCCAGGAGCCCCATGCAAACTCCAGCTGCAAAGCACAAACACCCTCCCTCCCCATCCCCCAGACAGACAGATGAATAGATGGACAAAGGGACAGTACTTAATGGTGGCCTCTGCTTCCCCGGGCCCAGCCTGGGGATGCACTTAAGAAGAAGTAAGAAGTCAAGAAAACAGACTTAGCTGCAAAAGACAACTGTTTAAACAAATCCCACTCAGGCAACCCCAGGCTCTTTTTCTTCCTCTTCTTCCAGGCATGTCAGAAAGATCACTCTTTGCAAATATTTGAAGCCTGTTGAATATTGTAGCAACACATTACAGGAAGCAGTTGATTCATCTACCTACCACAGCTCTGTAAAAACACCTTTTGTAAAAATACCTTTTGTAAGAATGGAGCTCACTGAAAACACTTCTGCAAGAAGAATCTGGTTTTCAGTCTGCCCTCCACCTACCCACGCCCGCGCCCCCCCCCATCTCCATCTCCGTGTGGGGAGGGGCAGGCCTATGCTGGGGCCGATCGATCACATCGGATTGATTGGATTATAGGCCCACCAAACGTTAACCCAGGGATTTGAATTTGATCCACACAAGGCCTCGGTGTTGTTTTCCAGAGGTCGAAGCCGCTTCCTAGGACTGGACCATAGTAAAAAAATAAAACCCTCGATCTTGTCAGCAACAGGAATTTATTCTCTCACAATTCTAGGGGCCAGAAGCCAGAAAGCAGGTGCTGGCAGGGTGGTACACCCTCAAAGTTTTTGCTGGCGATTCTGGGTGCTGCCTCCCATCTGCAATTCCCCCCCTCCCCCCCGCCCCCCACGGCTGCCCATCCCTAGTCTGTGACTTCACACAGCACACTCTGAGCCTCCTTCCTCTCCTCCCATTTTCTTAGAACAGCAATCACAGGAGGCTAGGGCCCACCCTCCTCCCCCAATCTCTTCTTACTTTATTTTAGCACTATCTGAATTTGAACTCAGTGCCTTGTGTTCGCTAGGCAAGTCGTCTACTAGTTGAACCTCATCTCCAGACTTTTCTATGTTTTCAGATAAGGTCTCACATTTGCCTAGCTGGTCTCCAACCACTATCCCCTTACCTATGTCTCCTTTGTAGCTGGGATTATGGATGTATACCACCAGGCGCAGCTCACTGGTTGAGATGGAGTCGCTAGTTTTTTACCCAGGCTGGCCTTGAACTGTGATCTTCCTTCCTGATCTCTACTACCAAGAGAGGAGCTGGGATATCTTATCTGGTCTTGACCTTTTTTTTTTTTCCTCTCACATCTTCATTAGGTTTGCAAAGACTTATTTCCACAAGAAAGTCATATTTGCAGGTAGTGGAAGTTGAGAATTTAATGTTCTCTTTTTAGAGAACCTGAGTCAGCCCAAAGCATATTAGAGGAAAGTCTTCCTCACTACAACTGCAAGCTCCAAGCTGTGTACACCCACTTCCCGCCTGAGAAAGAAGTAGGCAGAGCCAGACAGAAAGACAGGTCCTGCCAGACACCAGTGGCTCACACCTGTAATCCTAGCTACACAGGAGACTGGGATCTGGGGATCATGGTTTGAAGCTAGACTGAGAAGGAAAGTCTGTGAGACTCTTATCTCCAATTAACCAGCAGCAGAGCTGTAAAGCCAGAAGTAGAGCTGTGGCTCAAGTGGTAGAATGCTAGCTTGGAGCAAAAAACAGTGTCCAGGCCCTGAGTTCAAGCCCCAGGAAAGGTAAGAAAGAAAAGAAAAGAAAGGAAAGGAAAGAAGGAAGGAAGGGAGGGAGAGAGAGAGAGAAAGAATGAATGAAAGAAATGAAAGGAAGAGAGAAAGAAAGAAAAAAGAAAGAAAGAAAGGAAGAAAGGAGGGAAGGAAGGAAGGAGGAGAGAAAAAGAGAAAGAACCAATGCTGGTATTTCCATGGATTGTAGCCAGATCATAATCCTGGCCACCTTCTGGGTTGCTTGGTATCTGGCCAACAAAATCCCTTTTTAAAACATGTACAGTTTAAGTTTCTGTCACTTACAACCAAGATATTTGACATACCCAGCAGTAAACAGCATTGTATAATATAAATTCAAATAGCATTATAAAAAATAAATTCAGATGCTGGGGGATTTATTAAAAAAAAAAACAACCAAGAACAGCCAGGAGTTAACGATTAAACACACGCGCGTGCACACACACACACACACACACACACACACACACACACACACACACAGAGAGTTTTATGTATGTGTATGCCATCCTGGGGCTTGAACTTAGAGCTTGGGCTCTGTCCCTGAGCTCTTTTTGCTCAAGACTAGCACTGGATCACTTGAACCACAGCTCCATTTCCAGTTGTTGTTTTTTCTGGTAGTTATTGGAGATAAGAGTCTCCTGAGCTTTCCTGCTGGGGTTGGCTTTAAATCCACGATTTGTGATTCTCAGATTGCAGGCTCCTGAGTGGCCGCTGCCACTCAGCCATAAACTTACAATTGAACCATTCTCTCGACTTATACCCAATGCTTAAAATTTTCTGAGAGACTAAATGAGGTCAAATGTCAAATCAGTGAAACCCTCCCGGGTCTCATGGTTAAAGTCAAGCACAAATGAGGGAGCAGAGCAAAGGTTCAGGATCATTTATAACTCGAACTGTGGAGGAAGCTGTGGAGATCTCTGACGGTGGCGGTTGGGTAGCCAGGAACAGCTGACCAATCCTGAAGCCCTGGGTACCTGGCGAGTGCTCCCAGGGGAGTGCTCCCCTGAGCTAATCACAAATAAATCTTGTCCACAATGCTCAACCACACACAAGAATGCAGGTCAGACAAAATGACAGGGTCATTCCCCCCAAACATCCACCAGTGAGCGCTACCATGTGGCCGAAGGCTGTAGCTCCTGACCCCCAAAGTGCACATGGCCACCTCTGCTTATGATGGAGGCCAGCATACTCCACCCCTGTTCACAACCTCCCCTCGAACCTCCTGTTCCAACCCAGCCAACCTCCTTCTATGCCACAGCCCCCACCGATCTCTGATGCCTCATTGTTGGGGACTGGTCAACTGTGATCGGAGCAATGTGACCGACCATCGGTGACCTCTTGAGATCCGCTTTGCCCAAGAGTCAGACTTGCCCTTCTATGGATTCCCAGCAAGAACCAACCAGAATGCTACAACCAACCAGAACGCTACAGAGGAGTTGGGATCGACAGAAAGTATTTCCCCAGACAAAGCTGGGTCCCTCTTACCTTCTGCAAATGGCTCCCACTCGTAAAACCTGCCCATGAATGGCTTGTTGTTGTAGGATGCGCACTGCACCTCCCGGATGCTCCGGCTGTTCGCGGGACATTCCTAAGGTAGAGGCAAAAGACACAGTTAGTGCCCCGCCCCCACAACTCTGATGATACCTCACCCCGCTCCCCCATATCTGATCCAGCCTTTCTCTGCCTAAACCACAGCTTTTGAACACTCACCATTGGATTATTAACTTAAATTATTATTATCACTGAATTAGTATCAAGTTCCCAGGTTAACTTTTGTACATTACAATTCTTTTTGATGCCAGTATTGGGGCCTGGGCACTGTCCTTTAGCTTTATGGCTCAAGGTTGACACGCTAGCATGTAAGCCACAGCTCCACTTCCAGATTTTTGCTGGTTCATTGGAGATGAGAGTCTCGTGGACTTTTCTGGTAGGGCTGACTTGGAACCATGATCCTCGGATCTCAGTCTCTCAATTAGCTACAGGCCAGTGTCTGGCCTTCAGACTGTAATCTGAAATCCGCCGGTCCAAGCCTGGGAGCAGGTGTTGGTTCCCATGATCGCCTCTGTGCAGGCCCTTCCTTCCCCCAGCATAGAATCACATCCATCGTCCATGGTAAACACACATCCACCATACATTTCATCCTCCTAGCCACCGGCAAAGTAAATATTACATTTGGAGGGAGGAGTCTCTACACCAGTGAGTTAATCCAAGCAATCCTCTGTCACTGTCTTCCCTTCCCATCTTTTCTAAACTCCACTCTACATTCTAGCCATCTTTGCAAGCAGAGGCTCTGGCTCCCAGCCTGCAAAGACTTTACTGGAAATGCAAACTCTGGCTCTCTCCCTGCAAAGATTCTGTCCCATGAACCTGGGATGGGATCTGGAAATCTGTGTTTTATCGAGATCACCCAGGAGACCATTCAAAGAAATCACGTAGCTCCTCCTTTCCAGCTTCTAATTGATACATGATAAATGGGGCAGAGTGAGACTTTGAAAGAAAGAAGTGTGAAAAAATAAAGATCAGGGTCTGGAGATCACCACGTGGCTATAGAACACTCTGTCTTTTTGCCAGGCGCTGGTGGCTCATGCCTGTAATCCTAGCTACTCAGGAGGCTGAGATCTGAGGATCCCGGTTCAAAGCCAGACCGGGCAGGAGAGACCGTGAGACTCCTATTTCCAATAAACCACCAGAAAACCGGAAGTGGCGCTGTAGCTCAAGTGGTAGAGCGCTCGCCTTGAGCTGAAGAGCCGAGGGACAGTGCCCAGGCCCAGAGTTCAAGCCCCACGGCCGACCAAAAAAAAAAAAAAAGAACACTCTGTCTTTGTAATCCACCACCTCAACCAGTTCGGATTGGGGGGCCGGGGGTCTCATTAAAGGAAGGGAAGTAGGCCTGTCAAACATGAAAAGGCATTTCCTCCACTGATCTTATAAAATGACATTTATCTAAAGGATCTCCAGGAAATGGAAACAAGAGGTTTTTAAATTTTTTCTTTGTAGTGGTTTTAAGTTTTCTCTTCTTTTTGTCTTGTTTGTTCGTTTATCTGTCTTTGGGATGGGAGGCACAGAAATGGAGGGACAAAGGGTGAACAAATGGAAAATGAACTCTACATCATGGGTGGGGAATGGGAGAAAAAAACCAGAGAAAGCAAGGGAAAGGGGTGACATTATCCACAAAGAAATGTACTCATTACCCGACTATTGCCCCTCTGTATATCACCTTTACAGTGACAATTTTTCTAATTTAATTTTTAAAAAGTACCTCATCTAAGACTCTCTCACTGGAAGCAAAGAGCAAGCAGAAAGGTCTGCCTAAAAGTTAATTTAAAAAAAATTAAACAAACACCAACGCCACATGAATGCCAAAAGCCCTCTTCCCCTTCCTCTTTTTTCATGGTCTCTTTGCTTCTGAAAACTAAGGGATGTGGCGGTCAACGGGAGAATGTGTTCCATATCACGTAAGAATCCATTCCCTTATAACAATGAACATGAGAACGAGGACCATGCCCGATCACTCACACAGCGAACGGCTGACTTTCCCCGTGTGCCAAGCACTTTCCTGAAGATCCTTCCACCAGATCCTGAGAACAACTCCGTGAACAATGTCTTCCAGGGGACCTCGCATGTTACAGGAGGAGTACTCACTCAAGACTTTGGGTTGACTGATTAGTCACGGTTCATAGAAATAAAGACTGCTTTGTACAAATGAATAATCCCTCAAGTTGGCCTGTGGAAGAACAAGCTTAAAGCAATCCGGCCATCTAGAGGAATTATTAAGATCACAAATTAAGTCATTCCTATGGACTCCATAACAGGAAATATATTTTTAATGAGGAAATTGAAGCTAATCTGTAACAGCTGTCCTATTACCCGGGAATGGAATATTAAAGCAGATTAAATTATTATTAATGAAAAGTGTAGCGACTCAGAAATGTAACCCGGGAACCTTCTCTCGCTCCTTCTCCTTTGTACACGGTCACTAGCTGTGGAATCTTTGGTGAGTTACCGAACTTCTCTCTCTGTAACTACGAAATAGAGAGAGCCATGATCTTACAAGGCTATGCAGGGTAAGAAAAGTGGCCAAGGGCAATACTGGGCTTCTTGTAGGTTTTTAATACAAGTTCCATGCTATTGAAATACATGAAGACTGGATTAACCGATACTGACGGAAATAAAATCCTACCTGCACGATTATAGCTGTACAGATGTTTTAATTATTGATGTATTTCCATACAAGTTGGTGAGTGCATCCAGCAAGAGGGCTCCAACCAAATGTCACCTAGTACCTCCTGTGCTAGGTGATGATGAGGACATCATTCAGATTTCACTATTAGGTGTTTTCTTTGGCACTACTGCTTGGTCAAACTGCACTGGACCCACAGACCCATGAACACAGATATATATATAGCCAGTACTGGGGCTTGAAGTCAGGATCTCACACTCCTGCTTAGATTTTCCCCTCGAGGCTGGTGTTCTATGGCTTGAGCCACATCCTCCACTTCCAACTCTTTGCTGGTTCATTGGAGATAAGGGTCTCACAGACTTTCTTGTTGGGGCTGGCTTCAAGCTGCAATCCTCAGACCTCAGCCTCCTGAGTAGCTGAGCCACCAGGACCTAGCTAAAAATATTCTTGATAGAAGCCATGCAGAACTTGGAGGTTGTTTGTTACCCAGCCATAGCTAACCGATACGCCCATTCAGTGCTTATCAACAAGTGAGCCGGTAACATACGCAAAAGTTTCAGAAGCAATTTCAGTGATAGTAGAATGTCTGTGAAGATGTAGAGGGAGAGAAGAGAGGGAAGGGAGCTGCAGAAGCTGTTCATCTCACTGTATTTGTCCTGAACAATGCCAGATGAGCAAAAGCTAAGGAAGAGAGCTGTGTGCACAGGCGGCCCCAGGGAGCTTCGTACTCACGTTGGTGTTGCACAGCTTGTACTGACGATGGGCCCCGATGCAGGAGATGGCAGTAGGCGGCAGGGACTGGGGGAAACTCGGAGACACTTCGTGAGTCCCCATGCCGTGGTGGCCGCTAGAACCCGGGACTCGGAAGAGACTGGAAGCTGCCAAGAAGCTCTGGTCATGCGTGGAAGGTGGCTGGAAGATGGAGGCTTTGGAGGCCTGCAGTGCAGACTGAGGACCACCATGACTGTGATCCAGTGGCTGGTGCTGGGGAAGCCAGTGGGCTGCGGGGCTGTGGCCAGGCCTGGGCGCGGGTGCCTCCTGGGCTCCCGAGGGCAGGGCCTCGGGCCTCTGCCTCCGGAGCCTCTGTGGCCCGTGGCCCTGGTCTGTCTGCAGTGGTAAGATGTAAGGTGCCTTGCCATACCCGTACGTCCCAGGCCTGATGGGGCCTCGCGCCCTGCTCCTGGAGAAGCAAAACCACAGTCAGTAGGGCCGTACAGGATGCAGGTTCACTCAGGAACTCAGGGGAGGGGTGGCGAGGAGGGAGTTGGGGTGTAGCTCACAGGGAGCCCCAAAAAGTTCTTGGTGAACTATTCTTCCAACCCCGTGACGTGTTTTTCCTGAGGCTATTATTCTATTTCTCACAGGCCTGGAGAGTTTTTCCCCCAAGACAGGTACCAAGCGGAGCAGTGGGACAGATGTGGTCCTGGGCGGGACCTGAACTGACTTCAAGAAGATCAGAAGGGGTTGGGCAATTGGCTACTCGACTTTCGTGTCTTTGTTTTTTGTTAGTCGTGGGGCTTGAACTCAGAGAGCAGGCACTGTCCCTGAGCTCTTTCAACTCCAGGCTATCCCTTGACCACTTTGAACCACAGTACGACTTGCAGATTTCTGGTGGTTTATTGGAGACGAGAATCTCATGGACTTTCCTGCCCTGGCTGGTTTTGAACCTCGATCTTCAGATCTCAGCCTCCTGAGTAGCTAGGATCATAGGCATGAGCCACCAATGCCTGGCTACTCAGTTGTTTTGTTTTGTTTGACAGTCGTGGGGCCTGAACTCTGGGCCTGGACACTGTCCCTCAACTCTTCAGCTCAAGGCTGGCGCTCTACCAGTTAAGCCACAGCACCACTTCTGGCTTTTTTTCTGCTTATGGGGTGCTGAGGAATCGAACCCGGGGCCTCAAGCATGTGAGGCAAGCACTCTACCACTGAGCCACCTTCCCAGCCCCTACCTAGTTATTTCTGAGGTAACCTACTCTATGCCCAGTTTGTAGAGAGCATTTAGATGCTGCCCAGACCTGTCACCTTCTGAACACTTAGGGAAATCACACCAACAGCTCAGAAATGTCCAACAACTGGATATCCAGAGGCAAACAGCTCTGATGAGAGGTACTGCCTATTGCCAGTCTGTCTGAAATCCCACAGCACCCATGCAAGGACTGCAATGCAATGCACAGGCAAAACCCAGCTCCAGGACTGGGGAGGGGCTCAGTTAGCACAGCCCGTGCTTCGTACCTGTGAGACCGTGGGTTCAATCCCCAGCATAGCAAGACAGAAAAGGTAAATAAATAAAGTAAAATAAAGGCCCGGAACGCCAAGGCGTGCCAATTCATTGTGCAACTACTATTTGCAAAAATTCAGAGCTAAGAACAGGGAAGATGTGTAAAAATGAATCAGCTTTGTTTCTTGTGACCCCAGTCTTGACAACTAAATCAGAGCTGATTAAAAATCAAGGTGGGGTAAGAGAACACCATTATAAACAACTATGTGGTAAATGCGGCAAGGTGACAGCCATAGACACAACACAACACTTGGTTCTTTGGGAATTTTAAGGCAAAGTGGGGCTCAGGTGTCTGGGGGGAGGGGATCTGAAAACCAAGGTCACTGGATTGACAGTGACCCACCCTATAGAAGAACACAGCTGAGTGTGGGTGGCTCACACCTGTAATCCCAGCTACTCAGGAGGCTGAGATCTAAGGATGATGGTTGGATGGCAGCCAGGGCAGAAAAGTCCATGAGATTCTTATCTCCAAGTAATCAGCAAGAAGCCAGACTTGGAAGCTCAAGTGTTGGAGCACCAGCCTCGAGCAAGAAAAGCCAAGTGAGAGTGTAAGGCCTTGAGTTCAAGCCCCAGTTTTTGCACACAACCAAGCATGGGTGCGCTCGCACGCTTGCACACACACACACACACACACACACACACACAAAGACATAAGTCATCTGACTCTGACTTTGTAAAATGACCAAACTGCACCAAATGATTGCCAGAGTTTCTCCAACTCTAAAATTATACGCTTTCCTAATAATTAATTCTATATCTTTGTACAACTGGAAGCATGCCCATGGCTTTCTACAGGACGGCCCATTAAAATAAGTGCATTCAAATACTAGTCAAGGTAGAGCATGGCTCTCTGCCCCCATGAAGAAACGTCTTCATTGTGCCACATAACCCTGAATATAAATTTACCAGAGCACAACTAATGATTAGCACCATTATCACCAAATACACTTCCATGCTCAGCTGATATGGTTATGAATTAAACGAGGCCGCAGTGTTTATTCTTGCTTTGGGGTGCTTCTCAGTTAATCTTAGCAACACTTAGAACTTAGTTAATGGCAGGGGCTTTAACAGACTAATGAAGGACTTTGTTCTAAAAAAAGAATAAAGACTTTGTGCTTGAGCACATACATATATAAATATCTTGGACGTAATAGTTTTTTTTTTAATGCCTTTTTTGTTGTTGTTGTTGTTAGTTGTGGGGCTTGAACTCTGGGCCTGGGCGCTGTTCCTCCACTCTTCAGCTCAAAGCTAGCCCTCTACCACTTGAGCCACAGCACCACTTCCAGTTTCCTGAGTAGTTTATTGGAGATGAGTCTCACGGACTTTTCTCTGCCTGTCCTAGCTTTGAACTGCGATCCTCAGCTCTCAGCCTCCTGAGTAGCTAGGATTATAGACGTGAGCCATTGGCACCTGGCTTAGGCTTCTTTTTTTCTTGTGGCAAGCCCGGTGAAATGGATGACATCACACAAAATCAGCCATCTCTGCACTGGTGGTTAAGATGTAAAAGCCTCCCCAAATTCTAGTCTCAAAGAAGGAACTTGGTAGAGACTTTGGCTGAAGGTAGTAAGAGATGGAGGCCCACCCTTTGCGGGGTTGTAAGCTTTGTGTCTGCCAGCTCACAGATACTTCAAACATACTTTAACCCAGGCCAAATCGTGTTTTTTGGAGATCTGGTTCCGATGAAGTTCACTTTGGCCTGGCAGAGCAACCTATTTCTCAAACATCAAAACTCCAAGTCTTCAAACCTCAAACCTGAAAACAGCCTGCCAGCCCAGGGGCCAGGCTGACGCTTCGCCAGGGGCTGATTAAATACACTGTATTTATGAATACACTGAATAATAAATACACTGGATGAAAACATTAGATCTAGCCTAATGACTGGGGGAAGGGGGGGGGCATGGGCCTCCAGGGCTGATACTAAGCTTTTATCATCTGAAGCCGGTAGATTAGAAGAGCATAAGAGGATCCGTGCAGGAACAATAATGGGAAACAGAAGCTACCTTGTCAGAAAGAAGTAACCAGGCCTGGGCCAGCAGCACAGACCTGAGGTCCACTAGGGTCTCATCCCAAGCCCCCTACCTCCACAGCCAAGCAGGGCAGGAAACGAAGTAGGCAGGGACTGGGAGCCAGCCACGCCCCCTTTGGATGCCACCCCTCCCATGTTATCCTTAGAGCCATGACTGCCTAGGCTGGAAGCCTCCTGACTAGCTAGGATTACACACGTGAGCCACAGGTGGGTGCCTGGATTTCTTCTTCTTGATGGCTGAATAATAGTCTGGTGCATGTATCTATACCAAGTTTTCTTGGTGAAGTGATCACTGGTTGCTGGGCATCCAGGCTGGATTCCATAGATTCGTTTTGTGGACAGCGCTGGGTGTTCACTGCCAGCCTGTTGCTCTGCTTTTGCTACCCAGGCCTCACACTGGATTTGAGGCTTAGGGGAGCTGGGAGCTTCCCTGAAGGAGAGAGGCAAATGGGGAAAGACAGAGCAGCCTCCTGAGGAGGCTGAGAAACCGAGGTCGCCAGCTCCTGACCACCCAGGAATCCTGGACCATGTTCTCCCCAGGAAATGTGGGGGAGGAGGCAGTAACCCAACTGGACTCCACAAAACAATTCTAACAGAGGAACTCCACCGGCCTGGGCTGGGCTACCGATTTCCAGGCTCGCTCTCTTATACTGAGAAGTCTGTTTGGTTTGGTTTGGTTGGGGATGGGTTTTGGTCAGAGTGTCCATAAGTAGCCCAGGCCAGTCTCACATTCACCATCCTTATCTCCCTTCAGAATGCTGGGATTACAGGCATGCACCACCACACCAGAATGTAAATACCTTCTGATTCATCAGTGCTTTTGTGGGAGACACTGCCATGTTTGGCATTATATAGAGCCCTACAACTATGTTTGCTGCCACGGAGATGTTTCTGGGGTTTACATTTGGTTCGCAGAACCCTAAAACCCACGAGTTGGAGTTGTCTAAGGCCCTAAGCATTTACTTTCTGCCAGAGAGAGAAAGGGGGGGGGG